CGAAAAACTGCTATTCTGCTACGTAATCGCAACGCAAAAAATGACTTATTTGCCGATTTGTAGCCGCCTGTCGGGGTTATGGGAACTAAAATGACACCGTCTCTGGGGGATACGCGGAAAGCAACAAAACCTGTCCCCCTCCGCTGCTACCTTCGCCGACAGCCCCGTGGCGAACCGTCCTTTGTGTCGATCGCTCGCCGCGACCTTCGACGATGCTAATCCTTTAAAGGGCCCATGAAACGAATTTTGGGCTGGAGTACATCAATATATGTTGGAATTTTACTAATAGCACATCGTTCAGAGAAGAAAAGGTAGAAAGTCAGAAGCCTGACTATCGGTACGAAAATTTTGAAAACACAGCGAACTATTTCGTACCTCCTTCCCTTCGTAAGCTCTCTGCCTTTTCACTGGGATACATCCGCGGACCTCGCAGCGCGTCACCGGGCACCCGCAGCGCGTCATCTGGCCCACAGGCACGTCACACGGCACCGGACCTTCACCATGTGGTGGAAGCTACGCGCTTGCCGGACCAATCAGCCACGTCCCTCTCATCACCTGACCTCATTCTCTGCGCGTCGGTATGCGCGAGAGAGCGTGATCACGTGGCAAAAGTGTGGCTGGCCCAACGAGCACGTAGCCTCCACCGCACTGTCAACTTCGGGGTAAACGGGGTGGAGAAAGCAACTTTTGTCTGAATTTTGAGCGACTGGCTAATCTTCTGGGGGTACAATGGCTGTGTGCGGCTACACAAACGAGGTTCCGAGCAAGAGGGACTCCCCCCTTTCCGTCTTCTTGGACTGTTTGGTAGAATGCGCGATTTATGAGTTGAGGAGGAAAGGTAAACAGGAAAAAGTTGGAAAAGCGTTTCAGGACTTCTTTAAAAGTTGACAATCACGGAGGAAGCGGCTGGTCTATGAAGAGAGGACCCAAGGAGAAACTAGGTGAACCCCCATATTACGTCACTCGAAGGTCGACCTGGAGAGTTGAGAGGCACTTTGACCTTCGATTTGTTCCATTTCTTAAAAATAAGAACTAGCTCTCGCAAGAAAATACAGTTTTCTGCTTTTCGTTCCATAGGTGAAGCAGATTAATTACCCCAGTTAATTGGCCAAAGTCTCATAATTGTTGCACAGCCCCTTTAAGGGAGGGGAGGATGTTCACTGTTGGTGTAAAAGTACACTGGCTGGGTAACGGAGGGTGCAGCTTTCAGGAAAAGGGTGCATGTGGGCCTGATGCACCCGACTACACCCTTTTTTTTCTTAGACTGTGTCTGAAATTCCGCTACGCAGGCTGCACCTATCGAAATCAACAGGCCACTTGGTTAGGTTAGCAGGAACGCCGGCAAGAGACTAGCCTCAAACCCAATGAGTGGACTTAAAAAACGTTTCCTTATCCTTGGGGTCGGATGTTTCTTGAAAAAATGCACAGTCGCTGACAAGGAGAGAACGGCGGGGTGTCTCTTTCGAACGCCCGACCTTTGGCACGAACTCGCTGCTTTTTGTCGTACCCTGGTGTAGCCTGTATGCTCGCGCCTGACGACAAGCCGAAGCCTTATCGAAGCTAAAAAAAGATGGATTGTCTACTTCCTTTAATTCTCTGAAATATGCCCCCTCGATAGCTCTGGTGGTTGGGTGATTCATTGTAGAGTAAGCGATTGATGGCACCCGCAGGTCGCTGGTGAAAATCCGGCTCGGCGAACGGAAAATTTTGTTTTCGAATAAACATAGCGGTGGTGACCGGGAGCAATCACGTGATTCATGACGTCACCAGGACTTTCTGCAAACTAGAGCCATGCATTTTCCCGGGAGGTTCGCACTAACAAGTGTCGCTGTTAAAGGTTGAAACAAACTTCAACCAGCGAATTTTTATAGCCATGGCATATCTAGGCTGTATACTTTCTGGCGTTTATTTATGTGAAAATCGGCGGGTGTTTTTCGGTGTTTATTTCCAAAACACCGGTCCATTTCGGTGAATTGTGTCGTGCAGGCGCTTGAAACGGCTTTTATCGACGGAGAAAATCGCGAATAGAAACGAACATTCAACACGAGAAATGGTTCAATTTTCATTTACATCTGATACACGATATTCTTCGCACTTCATTACTCTACATTACCTTACTTTAGCGCGCTCTACATTTGCGCTACACACGGGAAGTCCCAAAACGTCCAAAAAGCCTTGGGATAGTACTGGCCGGTCTGGTAAATGCAGCTTCCGGACGCGCTTCGACCCACACAATATGAAAGACGCTTCAAACCGCCCAACTAGGGTCCACAGAGAAGGAGGGCAACCTTGAACGGGGCTATCTACAAAAGGGCACAATGCCGACAAACTTTTGGCGACATAAACTGATGTTCAAAGTAATGAGCACTGACAGAAAAAAAAAACGCATCTGGATTACTAAGAGACATTAGAAAAACTCAACGACGACCGTAAGAAAAAACAAATGAACGAGTTTGAGGAACGTTTAAACAATACTTTTTCGGTGAAAAAAAAAATACTGCCTCTTGTACAAAATAATTAAAAAACCTGTGTTTTCCGGTTTTAACCGATCTTCTTCTTTTCGACACGCGAATGCGGCGGCGGCGGATGTTTATCGATCTTTTTCGGTTAAAACCGGAAAGTATACAGCCTAGGCATATCCAAACAATACCAGGAAGTCTCAATAGGCCGCCTGGCACGCTACCACCATTATATGTGAAGCCACGTTGATGACAGTGTTGTACACGTTCCTCAAAAAGAGGAACGGAAGCTCGTTCCTCGTCTCTTTTGATTTTTTGAACGCGTTCCCGTTACAAGATTCATCTGCGAGAAAGCAACTCGTTCCCGTTACGGTTAAAAAAAAATGGAACGTATCGTTACATATACGTTACATCTGTATTTTGCTAATTACCACATTTAATTAGATCAAACGAAGTTTTTTTTTTATCTATCCCATCGAATACGAATTTGCTAATTACCACATACGAATTTGAATGCCGTGATGGAAGGACACGAGGAGAAAATAAACAAGCGGAAGCAAGGTTTCATTTGTTGATATATTAACATTTAAAAATCTCAGCGTTTTGCCATATACCTGTTTGAGGTGGGCTATGCAGGCGAGCCAAGTGTACACTGTTACCCCACATTGTACGAGCGTTTTATAACAACCTCACATGTTTCAATTTAACAAAGTTCCTTCTGCGAACTTAACAACAGTTGCTTCTGGATGTTGCTGTCCGCGGTACGAGCAAGTCAAAAAGAGGGTAGGACTTTTGAATCTGGTAGATCGGTCTTGAAAACTACCAGTTCTTCTTTCTGAAAGTTAAATTTGTTGTTCAGTTTAAAAATTAAAAAAAGAATGAGTTTTTTTTTTTTTGCACCTGGCTAATGTTTGGAATACAAGGGTGTGTTCGATGTCTAGTAACCTGTTCTTTTGGTGTAACTGTAGGTCTTTTTGTAGAAGTTCAGTGATGGCTGTAGTCGGCCTTAGATTTCCGAGTGTATGAGGATTCGTGGAAGCAAAGGAGGTAGCCGAGTTTGACACGTCTGTTTTTCTGTCTTTTCCTGCGACTTAATTTTTTTTTTTAATTTCTGCACCGCAGTCTTGGACACTGAAAAGAGAATCAATGTCCACTATTTCACCTGCAGCCGACTGTTAGCATGCGAGGACCCCCAAAATAAACCTTACTTAACAAAAAAAGTTAGAGAACCTGCTCCTTATAAATATATTGTTTTATACTTTTTTTCAGCATTCACCTCTTAGAAATAAAATAAAAATTACCCCACTCGAAGAAGAAAAAGGAACGCCGTTCCTTCTTCCGTTCCAGTAAAAATGTAACGAGTTCCTGTTCCAGTTCCACCGATGCAAAATGGAACGGTGACGTTCCTTCGTTCCTCCTAAAAGGAACGCGTTCCAGGAACGTCGTTCCTTGGAACGACGTTCCGTACAACACTGGTTGATGGGAAGGAATATTGTGTACACACAAAACACTGAACGTCCCTTAACAAAGAAGAAGTGAAAATAAAAAAGAGCATCACCGTAAAAGAAAACGAAGCTACTGTCCTCTATCTGTAAATAATCGTCTAGGTTGTTTGTCTCAAATACCCGAGTCCCACTAGAGCGACAAACCGAAACAACCGACAGCGACAACCCTCAAACGAGATACTTTTGCGATTTGACAGGCTTTGTAGAATAAAGGAGGCTATGCTCAAACACTAGCATCATGGACACGAGATATCTTCGGGAAGCTTGCAATCACTCGTGCTTATTTCACGAGCACCGAACAACTAAACCCCTACCATAGGTACCATCGGGAGCATGCTGGATGTGTTAAAGGCTTTCCATGTCTGTTGTCTTCGTTTTCCGCTCTAGTAAAACTGCGAACATAAAAAGAACGAAAACTGAAGTCGGGTTTTAAATATCTGGGCACCGTTATAGGAATTGGTTGGCAATTTCATTCAATTTTTTTCGCGTAATTTTTAAACTATTAATATATGGGCTTGTGAAAAGCGTGTTAGTAAAATTGGTGCCGCAAATACTCAATAGTCCCTTCTCTTGTTGAAAATAAGACGTTTTGCAGTCGCTGTGTATTGGCGCAGCCATAACCGACCTTCAGTTTGTGCTTCCCCCTATTTTAATCTTTGCTCCATCATTACAGAAGCAGGTCAAGCTAGTACCATTTTAAATTTGACTGTGTCTTCCTTCATAGCACTGAACTTTGTGGAGGCTCGTCAATGCCGTCTCCATTTACTTGGTATCTCCATAAGACCTGAGAAGGTCAGCAATGGCGGCTTTAATCTGGCGCTAGCGAAAACCGTGTATATTTTCGGGCTAACATTTTTTTTTTTCAAAATTCGTTTTTTTTTGGTTATTTGTTTCAGCCTTTTATTCACTTACTCGTGTTACTCTCTTGCCGTGGAATAATACCACAATAAAGAGCTCTGAACGCGAGCCGTTCAACTGCAGCTGAGATAGTGGTAACGACCGTCGGAATCCACGTGTGCGTTGGCCCGTAATCAGAGGCACTTGACAACCGCCGCCGCCACGCAGCACAAAAAGAAAAAGAAACACTGCGAACGAGAGGCGAAGAAACAGATGGCAAATAGAAACACGTTCTGTAGAACGCGAGAGGAAAGCTTGGACCGTTTTGCACGAGATCTGCCAATTGGTTTTTTGGTTCCGAAAGCTGCGGACGCCTGTTGTCGGTGACAGCGACGTAGGTGAGTAGGCTCTTGGCTTTTCTTTCAGATGCCTTGTGCCGTCGTGCTTCGCTGGGTGGGCCGGGGTTCAAGCACGAAAAGTCTCCAAAGGATGTCCGTGCACAGTGCTTGAATAGACCTCTGTTTGAGCGTTCGTCTGAAAGATGTTTATATGGGCTCGGTGTAACGCCTTTATACTGCTGTAACTCTAGGCACTTTTCGGGTTATGTTTTTGACTTTCCATAAATGTATTTTCTTGACGTCGTACCGCGATGATTCTTTTATATATTTTCGATTGCTACTTGTATGATGTAAAATTAGCATAAAAAAGTAGCAGTCAGTTATTTAGACAGTGTGATTTTTTAGCTTGCTAGGGTTTAGCGAACTGGGGTGCTATGTTGCGCTTTTTGCACTCCCAGGAGACTTGGAAGAGGGAAGTGACGTCAACGACTAGAGCAAACGCAGATTGGATGTTGACAGAAGAAAACAAGATCAACATCCAATCTGCATTTGCTGCGTTGTTGACGTCACTTCCCTCTCCCTAGTCTCCTGGGAGTGCAGAAAGCGCAACATAGCCCCCCTGGTCACACGTCAGAAATGTAAAATTTAGAACTTGAAGTACAGCTGCTAGCCTGGAGTCTCCAACGGGTATCAGGCAGTAGTGATCCTAGACCACACGCCGGTACAATGCCCACCGTGACGGAAGCGGGCAGGGAGCCAGGACTGAGTTTGATCCCGGGATCCCTGGGTTCAGCGGCGCGAGCTTATATATCCGTGTGCTCCGGGCTGCGGCACGCTAAACCATAGCCTCTTCTATACTCACAAAGTTTGGTAGTTCGACCACACACCATTGAGTGCCCGGTCGTAGATTTTGGAGCGCGAGGGTCCGGTAGGATAGAGCATTTCTCGGGGAACCTTAAGGCAACCTGGTCGTCAGCGCACAGCTTTTGCAGTGGCGAAACCCGACGAGAAAAGAAGCAGCAGCGCGACGAACGCGAGGAGCGCGAGCGGACATTCCATCGCTCGGGAGAAGTGTGTTTCGGCGTCTCGCCGCAGCGGGGCGCCTGTTACATGGCTCTCCTCTCATCGTTTGTTCTGCCGTTCCGCCTTTTCACTTTCGGCGGCCACGTCTTGTGGCGATCTGCAAGCCTTTGTCAGTATAGAGGAGGCTATGACTAAACTCTCGGCCGGTGTTTCCTCCTGCTGTCCACCCGTTTCTCAATAAGTGCTTACGGCTATCGGGAGACCATATCAGTTGTATGCGTGAGCGGATTATAGAGTGAGTGGCTAGAAATAAAATCGCTCGGTTTGACCCACTCGTTTGACGACGATGTCTGGGCACTTCGTAGCTTTTCCAGGCTTCTGAGCTGCGATCCTTCAGGATAAGAAAAATCTCCTTCGCGTTTGGCAAAGGCCACTGAGTCGTGAACTTCTACACTCTACGAAATTCTCCCAAAACTACGGTTTCCTCGGAAAAAAAAAAAACAGCAAAGAAAAAAAACAACAACAACAACAAAAAAAAACGATACTTTGTGGAGGCGCGAAATTATGCCTCTAGAAATACTATATATGTTGCGGTAGGAGGTAATAGCCGACACCGTGAAAACAAAAAGTATTTTATGATAACAAAAAAAGACAGAGACATGAGGCCCACGAAGTAACCACGCCACGATTGTCGTTCCTTCGTTCTTTCCTCGCGATAAAGAAGTGTCTTCCTCCTCCTGTTTCCGTCCATATACTTGCACATGGTACCTCGTGCGTACATTTCCAGAAGTTTTGCTTTAAAACAATTGGCCCACGGAAAAAAAAAAAAAAATCATTCCCCCGGGGGGAGGGCTATTTAAGCCGGGCTTTCGCAACCTAAACACACGTAACGGATCTGTTTGGAAGCATAAAACCTCAAACTGAGGGGCGTCGAGGAGTGCGGGAAAGCGTGCTGGCGCATTTCCAGAAAGGTGAATGGACGTAGCAAAACGAGTGCAGCAGCCGAATAAATAACGATAAAAAAATGTACAAAGTGACGTAAGCATGACATGTATTTTCTTTGTGAAAAGACTCGTGCCGGTTACTGAAAATCAGCGTTGGCGGAAACGCGTTACTAGAAACGGCGTTACCGGTTAAGCGTTACTAGAGAGTTTTAGGGAACCGGAACAAAATACGATCGATAAACAAAAACGATCGATACCTTGGATCGGGCGCGTGGACCGATCGTGTGCCCTGAAACGGCTTTGGGGGAACCGTATTTGCAGACAATTGCAGACGATCGGTACAGGTCGCGCCCCCTGGCAACGGAAACCTGCATCCGCCTCATCGAGAAAAGACAAATTTGCGTGTGTTTGTAGAAATCGCAGAAACTCAAGTAAATAAAGATCGCACCCTAAATATATAGAGAACCAAAAATATAGTATACCTACTGATAGTTCGTCTCGTTTTTTTACTGGAATGAATGCGCTTCCGTAATACAAAACCTGGCGCACCACGGCGTGTCGCCCCTAACACAGCGAAGTTCTAAAATGGTCGTCTGCTAAAGAAGCAGACGAGCTTTCCGACAACAATGGCGCTCGATCTTTTTGACCATGACTTGGAGTTGGCTCTATTCAGCGAAAGAAATTTAGAAAAAGTGATTCTGTACGACTGTCTGCGCACTAAGTGTGGCGTGAGTCTCTTTTGAACTTCCCGCTTTCTATAAGCGAGGCACGCACGCGCGTGCCGTGGGGCCCGTGACTTGTGCAGGGGCACGAGGGAATAAACATTCTTTTTGGTTTGGCGTGACACGGAGTCAGTCGCATTTCTTTCGGGTGCCACCGAGCACCGATGCACTAAGAGAAGGTGCTTGTTGGCGGCGAGACATAGGACGTTGAACTTGGCGTAGCTGAGTAAATAAAAAAGTTGTGATACCAGGAATGATGTGCGGATACCACGAATGATGTGCCAGCGTATTTTGGGTTTTTTTTTTCTTTCAGTTTACCAGATTTATATACTTGGGGAATAAAATAAGGCCTTGACCGCACAAGGTAACTTGTTTTCTAATAAATCATGCGTTCTCAGCGGGCAAGCTTCGGTGTTTTACATCAACCAAATATGATGTTTACACCAACCACGTCCTGATATGCTGAAATGTTGCCGAAAGCGAACTCGATTTGGCACAAGAACACGCTCGCGCGCGCTTATCATTAACATTCGAAGTCGTCTGCTAGCGATCCTGTCTCTTTCCCTCGAGGCCCAATGCAGGATCGAGTATTAAGAAAGCTATGGACAAATAAAACTAGAAATATTAAATCTCGAAGAAAATACAAAAATAATCAAAATATACTCACTTTCTCAAGTTGATGCGGTCATTTTTCTTGTACAAAGCTAATTCAATTCAATTTTCAATTTAATTCAATTTTTATTTTAAGATCAAGTCATACAAAATAAAGAGCTGGCCCACAAAAGCAGCATTCTGCTTGTATGTGGGGCCAGGCGGCCAACTACAATACATGTTGTTACAAAAAAAAAAAAAAAGAAAACACTCTGCAGCACAAAAAAAAAAAATGAAAATAACACAAAATTAGCACCACAAGTAAATACAAAAAGGAACACTTTAGAGCAGGGGTCTCAAACACGCGGCCCGCGGGCCGCATGCTGCCCGCGACTCGCAGGGAGGCGGCCCGCAGGCCCAAGCGGCTACGAGTACCGTATCCCATGTCTCGAGCGCTAGCAATGGCAAGCGCCATAGTGATCTTATCGCGTCGCTTACTTTTCGCTCCAAAAGTAACTCTGCTCTTTTAGCGTAGTTACATAGTTTTTACTCATCTATATTCATTACCTTTATATATTTAAATTTTTCTTCCCTGCCTTTTTGTAATATGCGACGATTCCGCTACTAGCTTGCAAGCTCAAGCTATTCGTTGAAGGATGTATCTCAGCTGTAAAGCTACGAGCTCGGGAATATCGCCTTCAAAAATATGTCACCACTAAAACAGCAGTATTCGTTCGAGTGTTGTCGTTAAAAGCATCAGGATGGCAACAACGGTCATATTAACTGATTTTTTTCTTTTTAGCGACATGTTGAGCTTGGTAATTCCTGGGTGAATTCTTCAGCTGGAACGGCAGTGTATTTTTTTTCTATTAGAATGCTATATTTGTTCTAATTAACATGTTCAAAATGCCTGCACGTTTGGCGGGGTGGTGTCATTTTAATTCTTATCGCATCAGGTCTTATAAACAAGTCAAAACTAAAGATATCACTGGCAAGGCTGTGAGTTTACAAAAAAAACCCAAAAAGCACGAAGTCTCTCTTCCCCCCCTCTCCCCATCTTACGTTGGCCCTCGACATTTCGGATAAGGGATATCTGGCCCCCCCACTCAAATGAGTTTGAGATCACTGCTTTAGAGCATGAAATATAGGTGTTTATAGCCAAGTCTACTCACGCAACTATAAAATAAAAGTACGAACTATCTCCAACGGTTAGGCTACGATATCTACAGCTCAGGTGCTTGACACCAATTCCTTAGTTTCCTTTTTAGGGCCCTAGTGGATTCTATATTCATAAGGGACTCTGTGAATCCATTAAATAAGGAAGGAATGTAATGATTTCTGTTTTTCTTTCCATACAGTGTGTATATTTTTGGAATGACGTATCTTTCAGTACGTCTCAAATCTCTATTTTTATTTACGAGGAGGTCAATCCGTTCCTTCGCTCCTCGCAACGAGAAGTATTTTTTCAACGCTGCGTCATTTTAAAGTGCTGGAGCGAAAAAGGAGTAGCGCCTAGCACCTCCCGAAGTAGAAATATGTTGTCTACTGCTGTAAATCGCTTGCGAGGAGGAGGCGGAGAGACGGAGGTAGATGCGGCGCTCATGTTGCTCTCTTACGGTACAGATAGCAGACGATCACGGTCGTACGCCCGCGTACCGATCGTTGCGCCGTGTACGGTAGGACCACGAAGAAAATATAAAGGAAAACCTATAACTTTACTGCTGTGCACTTATTAAAACTATCACCCAATATTCAAAGGGCTCGTTTTGTAGGTGATATG